ATTTACTTGTGTTCCCTTGTGTCTTGCTGGAATCCTGGAGCTTCAGGGCCCAATGTTCTAGATTTACTTGTGTTCCCTTGTGTCTTGCTGGAATCCTGGAGCTTCAGGGCCCAATGTTCTAGATTTACTTGTGTTCCCTTGTGTCTTGCTGGAATCCTGGAGCTACAGGGCCTAATGTTCTAGATTTACTTGTGTTTCCCTTGTGTCTTGCTGGAATCCTGGAGCTACAGGGCCTATTACTCTAGATTTACTTGTGTTCCCTTGCGTCTTGCTGGAATCCTGGAGCTACATGGCCTATTACTCTAGATTTACTTGTGTTCCCTTGTGTCTTGCTGGAATCATGGAGCTTCAGGGCCTTATGTTCTAGATTTACTTGTGTTCCCTTGCGTCTTGCTGGACTCCTGGAGCTACAGGGCCTATTACTCTAGATTTACTTGTGTTCCCTTGTGTCTTGCTGGAATCCTGGAGCTACAGGGCCTATTACTCTAGATTCACTTGTGTTCCCTTGTGTCTTGCTGGAATCCTGGAGCTTCAGGGCCCAATGTTCTAGATTTACTTGTGTTCCCTTGTGTCTTGCTGGAATCCTGGAGCTTCAGGGCCCAATGTTCTAGATTTACTTGTGTTCCCTTGCGTCTTGCTGGACTCCTGGAGCTACAGGGCCTATTACTCTAGATTTACTTGTGTTCCCTTGTGTCTTGCTGGAATCCTGGAGCTACAAGGCTTAATGTTCTAGATTTACTTGTGTTCCCTTGTGTCTTGCTGGAATCATGGAGCTTCAGGGCCTTATGTTCTAGATTTACTTGTGTTCCCTTGTGTCTTGCTGGACTCCTGGAGCTACAGGGCCTATTACTCTAGATTTACTTGTGTTCCCTTGCGTCTTGCTGGAATCCTGGAGCTTCAGGGCCTAATGTTCTAGATTTACTTGTGTTCCCTTGTGTCTTGCTGGAATCCTGGAGCTTCAGGGCCCAATGTTCTAGATTTACTTGTGTTCCCTTGTGTCTTGCTGGACTCCTGGAGCTACATGGCCTATGACTCTAGATTTACTTGTGTTCCCTTGCGTCTTGCTGGACTCCTGGAGCTACAGGGCCTATTACTCTAGATTTACTTGTGTTCCCTTGTGTCTTGCTGGAATCCTGGAGCTTCAGGGCCTAATGTTCTAGATTTACTTGTGTTCCCTTGTGTCTTGCTGGAATCCTGGAGCTTCAGGGCCCAATGTTCTAGATTTACTTGTGTTCCCTTGCGTCTTGCTGGACTCCTGGAGCTACAGGGCCTATTACTCTAGATTTACTTGTGTTCCCTTGTGTCTTGCTGGAATCCTGGAGCTACAGGGCCTATTACTCTAGATTTACTTGTGTTCCCTTGTGTCTTGCTGGAATCCTGGAGCTTCAGGGCCTAATGTTCTAGATTTACTTGTGTTCCCTTGTGTCTTGCTGGACTCCTGGAGCTACATGGCCTATGACTCTAGATTTACTTGTGTTCCCTTGCGTCTTGCTGGACTCCTGTAGCTACATGGCCTATGACTCTAGATTTACTTGTGTTCCCTTGTGTCTTGTTGAAATCCTGTAGCTACAGGGCCTATTACTCTAGATTTACTTGTGTTCCCTTGTGTCTTGCTGGAATCCTGGAGCTTCAGGGCCTAATGTTCTAGATTTACTTGTGTTCCATTGTGTCTTGCTGGAATCCTGGAGCTTCAGGGCCCAATGTTCTAGATTTACTTGTGTTCCCTTGCGTCTTGCTGGACTCCTGGAGCTACAGGGCCTATTACTCTAGATTTACTTGTGTTCCCTTGTGTCTTGCTGGAATCCTGAAGCTTCAGGGCCTTATGTTCTAGATTTACTTGTGTTCCTTTGTGTCTTGCTGGAATCCTGGAGCTTCAGGGCCCAATGTTCTAGATTTACTTGTGTTCCCTTGTGTCTTGCTGGAATCCTGGAGCTACATGGCCTAATGTTCTAGATTTACTTGTGTCCCCTTGTGTCTTGCTGGAATCCTGAAGCTACAGGGCCTATTACTCTAGATTTACTTGTGTTCTCTTGTGTCTTGCTGGAATCCTGGAGCTACAGGGCCTATAACTCTAGATTTACTTGTTTTCCCTTGTGTCTTGCTGGAATCCACGAGCTACGGGGCATATTACTCTAGATTTACTTGTGATCCCTTGTGTCTTGCTGGAATCCTGGAGCTTCAGGGCCCAATGTTCTAGATTTACTTGTGCTCCCTTGTGTCTTGCTGGAATCCTGGAGCTACAGGGCCTAATGTTCTAGATTTACTTGTGTTCCCTTGTGTCTTGCTGGAATCCTGAAGCTACAGGGCCTATTACTCTAGATTTACTTGTGTTCCCTTGTGTCTTGCTGGAATCCACGAGCTACGGGGCATATTACTCTAGATTTACTTGTGATCCCTTGTGTCTTGCTGGACTCCTGTAGCTACATGGCCTATGACTCTAGATTTACTTGTGTTCCCTTGCGTCTTGCTGGACTCCTGGAGCTACAGGGCCTATTACTCTAGATTTACTTGTGTTCCCTTGTGTCTTGCTGGAATCCTGGAGCTTCAGGGCCTAATGTTCTAGATTTACTTGTGTTCCCTTGTGTCTTGCTGGAATCCTGGAGCTTCAGGGCCCAATGTTCTAGATTTACTTGTGTTCCCTTGCGTCTTGCTGGACTCCTGGAGCTACAGGGCCTATTACTCTAGATTTACTTGTGTTCCCTTGTGTCTTGCTGGAATCCTGGAGCTACAGGGCCTATTACTCTAGATTTACTTGTGTTCCCTTGTGTCTTGCTGGAATCCTGGAGCTTCAGGGCCTAATGTTCTAGATTTACTTGTGTTCCCTTGTGTCTTGCTGGACTCCTGGAGCTACATAGCCTATGACTCTAGATTTACTTGTGTTCCCTTGTGTCTTGTTGAAATCCTGTAGCTACAGGGCCTATTACTCTAGATTTACTTGTGTTCCCTTGTGTCTTGCTGGAATCCACGAGCTACGGGGCATATTACTCTAGATTTACTTGTGATCCCTTGTGTCTTGCTGGACTCCTGGAGCTACAGGGCCTAATGTTCTAGATTTACTTGTGCTCCCTTGTGTCTTGCTGGAATCCTGGAGCTACAGGGCCTAATGTTCTAGATTTACTTGTGTTCCCTTGTGTCTTGCTGGAATCCTGAAGCTACAGGGCCTATTACTCTAGATTTACTTGTGTTCCCTTGTGTCTTGCTGGAATCCACGAGCTACGGGGCATATTACTCTAGATTTACTTGTGATCCCTTGTGTCTTGCTGGACTCCTGTAGCTACATGGCCTATTACTCTAGATTTACTTGTGTTCCCTTGTGTCTTGCTGGAATCCTGGAGCTTCAGGGCCTAATGTTCTAGATTTACTTGTGTTCCCTTGTGTCTTGCTGGAATCCTGGAGCTTCAGGGCCCAATGTTCTAGATTTACTTGTGTTCCCTTGCGTCTTGTTGAAATCCTGTAGCTACAGGGCCTATGACTCTAGATTTACTTGTGTTCCCTTGCGTCTTGCTGGACTCCTGTAGCTACATGGCCTATGACTCTAGATTTACTTGTGTTCCCTTGTGTCTTGTTGAAATCCTGTAGCTACAGGGCCTATTACTCTAGATTTACTTGTGTTCCCTTGTGTCTTGCTGGAATCCTGGAGCTTCAGGGCCTAATGTTCTAGATTTACTTGTGTTCCATTGTGTCTTGCTGGAATCCTGGAGCTTCAGGGCCCAATGTTCTAGATTTACTTGTGTTCCCTAGCGTCTTGCTGGACTCCTGGAGCTACAGGGCCTATTACTCTAGATTTACTTGTGTTCCCTTGTGTCTTGCTGGAATCCTGAAGCTTCAGGGCCTTATGTTCTAGATTTACTTGTGTTCCTTTGTGTCTTGCTGGAATCCTGGAGCTTCAGGGCCCAATGTTCTAGATTTACTTGTGTTCCCTTGTGTCTTGCTGGAATCCTGGAGCTACAGGGCCTAATGTTCTAGATTTACTTGTGTCCCCTTGTGTCTTGCTGGAATCCTGAAGCTACAGGGCCTATTACTCTAGATTTACTTGTGTTCTCTTGTGTCTTGCTGGAATCCTGGAGCGACAGGGCCTATAACTCTAGATTTACTTGTTTTCCCTTGTGTCTTGCTGGAATCCACGAGCTACGGGGCATATTACTCTAGATTTACTTGTGATCCCTTGTGTCTTGCTGGACTCCTGGAGCTACAGGGCCTAATGTTCTAGATTTACTTGTGCTCCCTTGTGTCTTGCTGGAATCCTGGAGCTACAGGGCCTAATGTTCTAGATTTACTTGTGTTCCCTTGTGTCTTGCTGGAATCCTGAAGCTACAGGGCCTATTACTCTAGATTTACTTGTGTTCCCTTGTGTCTTGCTGGAATCCACGAGCTACGGGGCCTATTACTCTAGATTTACTTGTGTTCCCTTGTGTCTTGCTGGAATCCACGAGCTACGGGGCCTATTACTCTAGATTTACTTGTGTTCCCTTGTGTCTTGCTGGAATCCACGAGCTACGGGGCATATTACTCTAGATTTACTTGTGATCCCTTGTGTCTTGCTGGAATCCTGGAGCTACAGGGCCTAATGTTCTAGATTTACTTGTGTTCCCTTGTGTCTTGCTGGACTCCTGGAGCTACAGGGCCTAATGTTCTAGATTTACTTGTGTTCCCTTGTGTCTTGCTGGAATCCTGGAGCTACAGGGCTTAATGTTCTAGATTTACTTGTGTTCCCTTGTGTCTTGCTGGACTCCTGGAGCTACAGGGCCTAATGTTCTAGATTTACTTGTGTTCCCTTGTGTCTTGCTGGAATCCTGGAGCTACAGGGCTTAATGTTCTAGATTTACTTGTGTTCTCTTGTGTCTTGCTGGAATCCTGGAGCTTCAGGGCCTAATGTTCTAGATTTACTTGTGCTCCCTTGTGTCTTGCTGGACTCCTGGAGCTACAGGGCCTAATGTTCTAGATTTACTTGTGCTCCCTTGTGTCTTGCTGGAATCCTGGAGCTGCTTGTGTTGTTTCAGATCTACACCTGCAACCTGATGTAGCTGGTGCAACCTTCATGGCAGCTGGGAGTTCAGCCCCGGAGCTGGCTACAGCTGTAATAGGGGTCTTCATAGCCAAGGTGAGGAACATAGGGTCAACTGATCTAATAACAGTATTGCATTAAGCCCGACCTCACTGAGTAATGAGTTTAACTGGTGAGGACCAGGCTGCCAGAGGCCCACTGAGTGGTGTGGAGAGTGTCTTGCTCTAGGTACCGTGTGAAGAATGTGTTCAGCTGACTTGCAACTCTGAGTAATAGTGGCAGCTTGCTTAATCACCTCATTGGTTTCCAATGTACGTGTGTTCAGAGAATCCCACCAATATATTCATCATGTTTGGATAAAAAGAATAAATGAATATACTTGGAACCTGAATAACAGCCACTATTGCTCTGCAATGTCATTCGACATGATTGAGATCATTTCATTTTGAAAATAGTGTCAATAAAATGTTTTATTTAGAACTGTTCTTTTATGATGCTAGACCATAACTTCGGATGATATGGGTAAGTGGTAATGGAAGCGATGTAACTATAGTGTATGTTTGGCAGACTTGCTAACTGAAATGGTGATCGGGTGGTCACTATGGCTGCAAAGTGTGAGAAGTATATGAATGGGGGAACAGGCTGTCAGCTGTGGTCTGGCTGATTGTTCAGCTTGTACTGTACAGGCTTGTTGCTCATGTCCCTCACTGCTGGTATGCCTGGTCACACCAGGAGGCTGGGAGACACAGCTGTGTTGCTGTTGCCACTACAAGTTGTAGCAGCATCATGAGGGGTACATGTGTCCTGTGAGGCAAGTGGTATACAACCTAGTGAGGGACGCATAAGACCACATTTACCCCTTGTGATCCTGCTGCAACGACATGTTTTAATCAGCCATTGTAAAAAGAATTAAATCAAATTCAAAATTGGTAGAAAACAGCTGTTTGGTTGAGGTTAACTTGTCACGTGACTTTCATTGACTCTGAAAAAAGCGTGCAGCCTTTTGCTTCAAAGCAAGGTATAAAGGACCTAATCTCTCACTCAGAAATCCATGTGCAGCCTGTCGTCTTCATGGTGGGGTATGGGGTTTATTCTCAGAAATTTATTTCCCTCCCAGGTGGCATACATAGTATTTTATCAAGATCACGTAATACAAGTCACATCTGGTCGTTCTGTCATGGAGGTATGATGAAATGTATTGTACAAGTAACCCCAACAGCAGAACACACATTGACCAGTTTACTTGCTACATGATGGTCCAAGAAAATGTTGTAATTTCTCCATTAGGCTTATTTCTTAATTACTTATCTTTTCTATCAATATAAGAGATGGGAGGGGAAATAAATAAATAATGTTTTCAGGATTAGTGTTACTTCAACAACTCTTGAAATAATGAAATGACCAATAAAACGATGTTGAAGAAACATTATTTTTCTTATAACTTTCTACTTTTTTTTCTTCTTTTGCCAAGAGATTTGTCTTCAACACAAGACTAGAAACTAGTCTAATCTAACTATTACTTATGCTGAAGTATGAACTTGCAGGAGTGAAGATAGATTTGTGGTTGTGGTACAACGACGCCCTGAACCTGTCAGCTAGAGCTGCTATGTTGGATCGTATCGCAACAGTTGTGAAAGAATTTGTTTCAAGATTGTGTTTTGTTTCAGGATGATGTGGGACTGGGAACAGTGGTGGGATCGGCCATCTATAATGTCATGTTTGTCATCAGCATCTGCGGACTCTTTGCGGGCGCGGTGAGTACGAAGGGGCAACAGTTGGTGCAGGAGACTGTCTCAAACACAGTCGAAGCATAGGTGTCCGGTAGAAATATGTCAGTTCATTGTTACATGAATGCGAATCAACTTCCATGTAGATGGAGTTAGTGCCGGATGACTGATTTCTTTGAAAACTATATTTCAGTGAGGGGTGAGTTTAGCAATATGGGATGATGTCACAATGTCTAGTATCATACAATGTGTTGTCCTGCTCTAGTCCTCTGACTCCGATGTATACCCACTGTATCCTAATGACATAGTACTGAAAATCAAGCAAGACTGTTACTGTACATTTTGTGATACATTCTCAGCCTCCAGGGGCAATGGGATACACCAGTGGTTAGAGCGTTCACTTGTCCAGGTTCAGTTCCCCATGTGGGTAAAAAGTGCGAATTCCATTTCTGGTGTTACCTATTGTGATTTTGGTGGTATCTTAATAAATCCTACTCGCTCTCCAGGGGAGTATACAATCACCCCTGCAGTGATAAGAATCATAATCCCACTACTGCCACCTCCAACACAACAGTGGCACATTGCATCAAAGCCACTTGAACAGGCTACAGTCTCACCACATTGTCTGTTATGAGTGCTGGACAGGGCAAACCCCAAACTGCTGGACTGAAGCCTGTACACATGGACTGCCTACCAGACAGCACCCGACCACCACTGCCTCCCCCAGACAAGTCCTGTGCATGATGCTCAGGCTACTCGAAGGTCAGGGAATATAGGCTGGACTGACTCCCCTAGACATATCCATTGCATGATGCTCAGGCTACTGTAATGTCATGGTGTATAGGCTGGACTGACTCACCTAGACCAGTCCTGTGCATGATGGTCAGGCTACTGTAATGTCATAGTATATATGCTGGACTGACTCCCCTAGATATGTCCTGTGCATGATGCTCAGGCTACTGTAATGTCATGGTATATAGGCTGGACTGACTCCCCTAGATATGTCCTGTGCATGATGCTCAGGTTACTGTAATGTCATGGTATATAGGCTGGACTGACTCCCCTAGATATGTCCTGTGCATGATGCTCAGGCTACTGTAATGTCATGGTATATAGGCTGGACTGACTCCCCTAGATATGTCCTGTGCATGATGCTCAGGGTACTGTAATGTCATGGTATATAGGCTGTACTGACTCCCCTAGACCAGTCCATTGCATGACGCTTAGGCTACTGTAATGTCATGGTATATATGCTGGACTGACTCCCCTAGACCAGTCCATTGCATGATGCTCAGGGTACTGTAATGTCATGGTATATAGGCTGGACTGACTCCCCTAGCCATATCCATTGCATGATGCTCAGGCTACTGTAATGTCATGGTATATAGGCTGGACTGACTCCCCTAGACCAGTCCATTGCATGATGCTCAGGGTACTGTATTGTCATGGTATATAGATTGGACTGACTCCCCTAGACCAGTCCATTGCATGACGCTTGGGCTACTGTAATGTCATGGTATATAGGCTGGACTGACTCCCCTAGACCAGTCCATTGCGTGATGCTCAGGGTACTGTAATGTCATGGTATATAGGCTGGACTATCTCCCCTAGACCAGTCCATTGCATGATGCTTAGGCTACTGTAATGTCATGGTATATATGCTGGACTGACTCCCCTAGACCAGTCCATTTCATGATGCTCAGGGTACTGTAATGTCATGGTATATAGGCTGAACTGAGTCCCCTAGCCTTATCCATTGCATGATGCTCAGGGTACTGTAATGTCATGGTATATAGGCTTGACTGACTCCCCTAGACCAGTCCATTGCATGATGCTCAGGGTACTGTAATGTCATGGTATATAGACTGGACTGACTCCCCTAGACCAGTCCATTGCATGACGCTTAGGCTACTGTAATGTCATGGTATATAGGCTGGACTGACTCCCCTAGACCAGTCCATTGCATGATGCTCAGGGTACTGTAATGTCATGGTATATATGCTGGACTGACTCCCCTAGACCAGTCCATTGCGTGATGCTCAGGGTACTGTAATGTCATGGTATTTAGGCTAGACTGACTCCCCTAGACATGTCCTGTGCATGATGCCTGGGCAACTGTAGTGACAGGGAATATAGGCTGGACTGACTCCCCTAGACATGCCCTGTGCATGATGCCCAGGCAACTGTACTGTCAGGGAATATAGGCTGGACTGACTCCCCTAGACATGTCCTGTGCATGATGCTCAGGCAACTGTACTGTCAGGGAATATAGGCTGGACTGACTCCCCTAGACATGTCCTGTGCATGATGCCCGGGCAACTGTACTGTCAGGGAATATAGGCTGGACTGACTCCCCTAGACATGTCCTGTGCATGATGCTCAGGCTACTGTAATGCCATGGTATATAAACTGGACTGACTCCCCTAGACCAGTCCATTGCATGATGCTCAGGCTACTGTAATGTCATGGTATATAGGCTGGACTGACTCCCCTAGACAAGTCCTGTGCATGATGCCCAGGCAACTGTAGTGTCAGGAAATATAGGCTGGACTGACTCCCCTAGACATGCCCTGTGCATGATGCCCAGGCAACTGTAGTGACAGGGAATATAGGCTGGACTGACTCCCCTAGACAAGTCCTGTGCATGATGCCCAGGCAACTGTAGTGACAGGGAATATAGGCTGGACTGACTCCCCTAGACATGTCCTGTGCATGATGCCCGGGCAACTGTACTGTCAGGGAATATAGGCTGGAGTGGTGTTGCTATCTCTGTTGCCAGGCATTGCGGTGACATTTCAGCACAAGTGCCACTACATTTCTGTTCCTATGTCATCATGTTTGTGCTGCTGCAGATGGCTCTGATAAGGACATGCTATTTGTAGTTTGTGGTGTTGAACATGAACCCCTTCAAGTTGACAGGCAGGTAGTGGTGTTTCAGTATACAGTCACCGTATCGTCAGAACATTTGTTTTCAACATCAATGATCATCACCAGGTCATTGTGGAGATGTGGACCTTCCTGGTGTTGACTTTCATATGAATGTGTGTCGATGTTCTAGTGTATTCCATCTTGGGAATAGCAATATAATGTTGGGTTCTTACTGAAGTAGAACTCGCCGAAGGGAGCTGTCCTAATCAGTCGTTGAAAAGCACAAGGAGAGAAAAACATGTCAACAGGTTTACATTCCCTTCATTAAATGTCTACAGCAATATACTTGATAGAATATACCAAAAAGCAATGTGAGATTACCTTCAACTTCAAGTCAAAAACAGATCATATCCTGATTACTAATTCACAACAAAATTGCATAATGATATCATGGCTGTGTGCACCTTTTTGAGACTATGACAGTTACTGTAATTAATTTTGAATGCTTACCATGAATCAAGGCCAGGTTTTTGCCATTCACTTGTATTGGGACCATAAGGAATTATTTGTGTCTTCTAGCAGTGTTTTCTTTCAATGTTGGTTTGTACACTGTAACATTTCCAAAATAGGAAATTGTAAAAGAATGATGAAAATTAGATGAAAGAAAACATTTTGTGTCTTAGAATGTAGGAAATCACATTTCAGAGCACTGCCTGGACTGAGCTGTCCTGATTCTGTGCAGGAATATATACAGAAATTCCTAAATTGGAATTAAAATTCCTGATTCAGACTGTTGTAATTCATGATAACAAGGATTGTTTTAGTTTTCAAGATGATATGGAGCACACTGATACCAGGGCGAATTCATTGTTAAAGCCTTCCATGTAAAGTTTTACATTATTAACAAAAATGCAATGGTAATATAAATATGAATTTAAGAGAATCAGCTCTTTAGAAAGAAATCCAAGATTTGGACAGTGTCCAAATGTGCAAAATCCTACATTAATCCCTGATAAGATGACTAATACCATCAAGTAGTCAACAGTTATCTTTCCAAGTCATTGTGGGCATATTAACCACCTGAATCTATTGGTCATGGATTCCAGTTCCAGATTTGCACAGTAGGCATGGTTAGTGATATGTGATTGGTTTGACAACACTATCCCGCACATGTGGCTTTCTGCTCCTCCCCCATCACTATCCACATGCCATAGTGTATCTAACATATTCTGTTTTAAACAACATCTAACCCACTCCCTATCTCCTGGCCCTGTCAGTGTTTACCTTCGACCCCAGAAGGGGCCATTGGGGGATGAACAGTAGTTAAGGTGTTTTTCAATCAGGCATATGGTGGTTTCTAAAATGTCTCCAATATTCCGCTGTCATAAGGCATCATGCCTCCGATTATGTTATGTCCCCATGCCTCTGTGATGTCCTGTTGATGTAACCATGGTAACGTCACCAAGGGATGCTTGTGGTTAGTCCTCATTTCTCCTTCTACTACCTCAGCCCTTTGACACTCTATAACTTAGGGTTTTGGGTTGAGATGGAGATATTTCTGCAAAATACATCTCATTGTTCACTTTGGGATCATACAAATGTAATATCTTGGTTGTTTGTTTGTTGTTTAATGCCGCAGTCAGCAATATTCCATCTAAATGACAGCGGTCTGTAAATAATCGAGTCTGGACCAGACAATCCAGTGATTGACATCATGGGCATGGGTCCATGCAATTGGCATATGATGACATACATCAACTGAGACACCGAGCCTTACCACCTGATTCCGTTAGTTGCCTTTTGTGGCAAGCATGGGTTGCTGAAGACCATTCTAACTTGGATCTTCATGAGTAAAATGTAATATCTACTGTAGTTTGGAAACATACAACAAATCTGCTAATCCACCATGATCTGAGTTCTTCTAAGGATTTAAATCTTGCAAATGTCTATGGTATTGCTAATGCAGCATGTACCTGTTCACTCTAGAAAACATGGTTAGGCATTACTGCTTATTGTTTTTCTTCTGACATTGAGGGTCAGTCTATTTTGTGTGGAGCAAGATTACAAGATGAGGTGCAGATCCCGACCTGACAGTCTGCACCCATCCCCTGCACCTCACCATGCCCAATCCATCCACTGGCTTAGACTTTGTGTTGTAG